AAAAATAGGTTACAGTGGACAAAACACTATCACAGTAGGTAATGAATTAAACTATCATCATGACCTCATTATTGAACTCTCAAACACAGCTATTGTACCAGTTTTCCTTGCTGAAAAATAAGGCTTCAATTTGACACCATATTTTCATTTACTAATCTAAATAACACATGCCCAATCAGACTTTCTCCTGCAAACCAACATACAATATGTAAATTTGCTGTATAGGTTTTTATATACATATGGTATATACAGTCACTGAGTTCCTGATCCAGACAAGGTCACAGGAAGTGATAACTCTTATGTTCATTTTGATAAAGATACTGTCTATAGCTCTAGATAATACAGTACATATATGTATGTACAAATATTTAAGCCCACTGTTTTAATTAATGCATGTATAAGCACTGACTAACCTTGAGTGAGGATCGAGTGTACTACACGGCAACACCAGCACACAAATGGCTGTGCTGTCTCGCTTACTAATACATCCCAAGTAGAGATTATGTAATACCCTTTCAGGGACTAAATCCAGAGACAATGGGCATGTTTGATGTGTTCAATTACTATTATAATTATAATTAAGTGCTAAACCCACAAGAGTCATACAGCGCTGCTTGATGTGTTCAAAATTTTAAAATCTAGTGTTTTCACCAGAAAAAGTTTTGAAACTGAATGGTCACATCTTGTGTGCTTGTATTTTTTTTCCTGCCAAAATTCAGTTTTTGGGTATAATTTCTGTACTAATTTTACTTATTTGAATTTGTGGGGATGATTAATATTATATTCATGTGGAAGCTCTAAACCTGTAAGGCTCATATAGTACCTGATAAGTAATCATATTTGATCTGGGGAAAAGGACAGTATCTCCAATTCCTTGGATGAAGAGCCCTTCACCTCAGACTGTGATATCTAACTCAGGGTTCCACCCTTTAATCCTTTCAGGGTTGGTGCCGTACTAGTACGGCTTGCATGCCAGGGTTGGTGCCATACTAGCACACATAAATTCTAGCACCTTCAAATCTAGCGAGAGAAAGCTGGTAGGCCTATATATGAAAGAATGGGTCTATGTGGTCAGTGTGTGCAGTATAAAAAAAAATCCTGCAGCACAGTTGCATAATGAGAAAAAAAAAAACTCCGACCGTGTCTTTGGTTTAGAACAGTGACTTTGCAATGTATTTTCGTATGCTATTTATGGTTGTATTCTAGTTTTCCTGGTCTCATTTTATAGAATGGGAGACATGTTACAGAAACTGAGATGATTTTTATTGGTTGCACAATGAAAAGTACCTTGAAATTGAGCTCAAAGTAGCAGAAATGTTCGATTTTTGCCAAAGTTCAAAAGTAAATAAATCAAACCATGTTTCTAATACACGTCAACTGGTGAGTCTAATATTATTTCACAAGTGCGTGATATTTATACCATTTCTACACTAATGCAGTAGTCTACATAACAGTAAATCTTCTATTTTTTGAGAGAATAAAAATTCAAAGTGGAAAGCAAAAGAAATGTAACAGAGGCCTGGGGACATGACTAATGAACAGAGGAAATGTTATTTTAGTGCCAGGAATGTCTGTCTTGTTTATTCTGGACCTTATTTGGAAATTGGCATCTTTTGAAATTTGAGTGAAATTGGCAAAATTGCCAATTTCTGACCACTTTATTGGATAGTTGAAATCAGTAAATGGGTGGTTTCTTGCACTCATTTGATAGAAAAAATGGAGTTCTAACGAAATAGTTATGATTTTTGTTGACTGGTAAATTGGAATTGGCCGAAAATAGGGCTCAAAGTGGACGAAATTGCCGATGAGTAAACATCGTCGAGACCACTAACTTCGTGAGAGCATAATTCCGCAAGTTTTCCATCAAATTTCATACTTTTGGTGTCAGTATGATCAGGAAAAGATTATCATTTCATATGGAATTTTTTTTTTTTTTTTTTGAAAAATTTCCGACCCTGAGAATAAGTTTAAGAGAGGGCCTGCCAACCCTGAAAGGGTTAACTTTCGAGTAACTATATGACCTCCATTGGGAGTCGTATAGTGTTTTTTGGAATGGGTAGCAGTTATGTTCAATCCAAGGAAAACGAGGTCAGGTACAATTCCTTGGATCAAGAGCCCCTTCCCAGGGTCACAGAACTTCATTTAAGAGATTAGGTTGAAGAATGCTTCCTGATATCCCTGTGGCTCATCAGGAAGTGTAATTGCTCTGTTATTGTATATTCAACTGATGCTGTCATTCTAAATTTTTATCTATCTTAACATTTTTAACTTTCACCAAAAGTGTTGTAACTCTGGATTATTCTGTACTTCCCTAACACTATAAAAGTGCTTTTTAACATCCCTACGACATTATTTGATTGCTCAGCTTTTTTTTTGTTCAGCCTTTGCCTTGACACTTTCATAGCAAATATTCTATTCTCATCCTCCCTGCCTATGCCCTGGATTACTTTGTATGTTGTGATTATGTCTCTTCTTTGTAAAGTCTTTTTCTCATTATATTTTAGGAACTACTAACCCCTTACATAAGGATCATAAAGCACTTTAGGAAATGGCAGGTAATCAGGGTTGATCCAAGGAAAGGAGGACAGCATGAATTTCTTGGATCAAGAGCATTTCACTAGCATCAATGTCCCCCCTTCACAATGGTTTTGTCATCAATTCCAGTACCAATCTATTGGTGAATCTTTGTACTTTCTTATTATTATTATCAAAGCAAAGGGTCATACAGCTATACTTTCTTGAGCCTTATGTACTTTGTTAATGTTACTGAGTGACAGTCTACTGAATCCATCTTTAGTGGAAATAAATGAGAAAATATGTCACTTTATGAAGGTTCTTGAGCTAATGTACACAAGTGAAAAGTTGACCACTATTTTGTCTGGCAACAATTGCTGTAAGTGTAGAAGTGGTAGGCCTACCAGTGGTCCCACATAAAGAGCTGTATGCTGGGATGTCATCCTGTAAATGACAGTTGAAATCATTGTAAATGTGGGACTATGTGCTTTGGTAACAATGACACATCATGATGTGCCCTGATTATCATAAAGATATGTTAAGCCATGAAAATTTCTGTATAACCTTGCCTTCTCCAATGTGGTGATTTTGTTTCACATTTAGTTTAAAATTGCTACATTATGAACTGATCATTACAAAAGGTTGCTGTATCAATCCACCTTTTCATTCATTTACAGGCATATGAAATATTTAGTTATGTTTATTTAGCAAGGCAAGCTTAAGCCAATCCCTAATTGTGTATGCAAGGTTTTGCCTAGGACCTCTTATAATAGAACCTGTTTGCATCAACCATATTATATAGAAATTTGGTTTAAAATTTATTTGTAACAGGACTCACGAAATCGTAATGACACGATTGCAAACAAACCATACCCCGGCCGGGATTGAACCCGGGCTGGAGTTTTGAGACTCTCTGACCACGGGTTCAATCCTGGCCGGGGTATGGTTTATTTGTAACAGATAAGTAGAATAGATAGGTAGATAGGTAGAAAGTTGAAAGTGAACATAGAAAAAGAGTACGGTGATGAGAGTATCAAATGATTTAGCTAAAGAAAAATTGGATATCAAATTGGGAAGGAGTAGTATGGAAGAAGTGAATGTTTTCAGATATTTGGGAGTTGTGTCAGCGGATGGATTTATGAAGGATGAGATTAATCATAGAATTGATGAAGGAAAAAAGGTGAGTGGTGCATTGAGGTATATGTGGAGGCAAAATGTGTGAAAGTATAGTACCAACACTCTTATATGGGTGTGAAGCTTGGGTTGTGAATGCAGCAGCGAGGAGACGGTTGGAGGCAGTGGAGATGTCCTGTCTAAGAGCAATGTGTGGCATAAAGATTATGCAGAAAATTAGGAGTGTGGAAATTAGGAGAAGGTGTGGAGTTAATTAAAGTATTAGTCAGAGGGCTGAAGAGGGTTTGTTGAGGTGGTTTGGTCATTTAGAAAGAATGGATCAAAGTAGAATGACATGGAGAGCGTATAAATCTGTAGGGGAAGGAAGGCAGGGTAAGGGTTGTCCTCGAAAAGGTTGGAGGGAGGGGGTAAAGGAGGTGTTGTGGGCGAGGGGTTTGGACTTACAGCAAGCGTGCGTGAGCGTGTTTGGAGACAAATGGTATTTGGGACCTGACGAGCTGTTGGAGTGTGAGCAGGGTAATATTTAGTGAAGGGATTCAGGGAAATCGGTTATTTTATATAACCGGACTTGAGTCCCGGAAATGGGAAGTACAATGCCTGCACTCTAAAGGAGGGGTTTGGGATATTGGCAGTTTGGAGGGATATATTGTGTATTTTTATATGTATATACTTCTAAACTGTTGTATTCTGGGCACCTCTCCAAAAACAGTGATTATGTATGAGTGAGGTAAAAGTGTTGAATGATGATGAAAGTATTTTCTTTTTTGGGAATTTTCTTTCTTTTTGGGTCACCCTGCCTCGGTGGGACATGGCCGACTTGTTGGGGGAAAAAAAAAAAAAAAAGTCAACTTTTGCTAAATGCAACTCACCATAGGAGAGAGGGAGAGAAAAAAAAAAGGGTTTGTCAGTCTCTCTTCTCATTCTAGCTACAAACCAGAATTTCACATTCTCTTGACCCTTGTGGGTTTACCACTTAGTTTTTTTTTTTTTCCCCAACAAGTCGGCCATCTCCCACCGAGGCAGGGTGAACCAAAGAGAAAGAAAATCCCCAAAAAGAAAATACTTTCATCATCATTCAACACTTTCACCTCACTCACACATAATCACTGTTTTTGCAGAGGTGCCCAGAATACAACAGCTTAGAAGTATATACGTATAAAAATACACAATTGTATTATTATTATTCACATTCTCTTTCTGTACTTTATGCAAATTTCCCATATGTCACCTACAAATTTTCTAAAATTTCTAGTGGTGCTACGCCCTTGTGGCTTAGCGCTTCTTTTTGATTATAATAATAATAATAATAGTGGTGCTACAGATAAGAATCAATGAGGAAAACAAAAACAAAAAAAAAAATATAATTTTATTTGTCAATTTGGCAGATTTGTAAACACAGTACATTGTGCATTTGCAATTATTCATAGACACATTTCTCAGACCTTTGCTAAGAAATAATATTTAAGCCTAATTTGTAAATCCTAAGATAAAATGACAAGGTAGTTTATTTATAAAAGAAAACATAACGTATATTATTTTGTAAAATATTTAGTCAAATCCAAAGACACATAATAATTCTACTTCAATGAGCTGGTAATTTTTTCTCCATAACACCCACAGTGAACTACAAAAGCACATGTATACACAGCCAAATTACAATTACCAGTAGTATTGTGGAGACTTGTGTTTGGTTTAGAAAAACATGTAAGCAGACACTAGGACATATTTATTAGAAAATGTTTTAGTCCTGGGACCTTGATCAAGGTCCCAGGACCAAAACATTTTCTAATAAATATGTTCTAGTGTTTGCTTACATGTTTTTCTAAGCCAACATGTCTGTATCTATTACCAAAGTTTATACCATCCTGCTAAGCTTGTTTTTAACACCAATGTTACCAATCCCCACCATGGCAGTGATATTTGCATTACACAAAGACAATTATGCATTCTAAGATCTTTAAAAATTATTTTTTGTAATACAAAGTTCATATAAAAGATAGCACCATGGTCTACACAGTATGTGACCATATATTGATAAAACCTAGTAAATATTTTTGTCTCATAATTTGTACAGATTTTTTGCTTAATAACTAGAAAAATTTATTAAATAACACTGTACAAGCTGTCAAAAAAAAATTTAATTTAAGAAAATTACAAAAAAATATATTATCAAAAATATTACATAATGGATATTAAAATATGAAGATCAAGACATACATTATGTAACTTTTTCTTAATCTGGTCTGTGTAATGAGCAGAAATGAAAGGCAGTACAACAAAATATAGCAGCTGCCTAGTTACGTTCTAGTATCATTATTGTATAAAAAAAAAAAAAGGACTAAAAATCTAGAGATTTTACTCTAAATCTAGAGATTTTACTCTATTATCCAGCAATAACAGCTTGGTATTTTTTTTTAATACACTGGCTGTCTTTCACCAAGGCATGGTGTTTTTATCTACATAAATACAACATTCTACCTCGGTGGGAAACGGCCAGTGGTGTAAAAAAAAAAAAAAAAAAAAAAAAAAACAGCACCATAAATATGATTTTTTATTTAATATTCATATAAACCTTGACTTTCATCCTAGCTTATCTAACCCATGAAGGCAACAGTGATACAGCCATAATCCAGTACAGTTCCCTAAATCAAACCTTGCTTAATTAACTTGAATATATTTTATATAATTTATTTTATATTAAGGTGCTAGCACACCTTAGCAACGTCTGCTTCAAATATATGTTTTCTACAAACTTTACATATCAATGTCTACAACATACATGTATTTGCTTTCCATTGGAAAATTCAGAGAAACATTTTTCTTTATTCTCTCCTTATTCCTGGCTAAAATGCCTTTGTGCATATTTAGGACAATGTGAAAAAAATTAATGATTAAACAGATCACTACAAATGCAAATAACAAAAATAATAAATATACATGAAGAATGAAGTATCTTATGTTGATATGCATTTAATATTGAATATAAATAAAAAGTTATACAGCGTCTCCTCACTTAACAATGGAGTTCCGTTTCTAAAACTACATCGATAAACGAATTCGTCACTAAGGAGCATGCTTTAATAGTACAGTGGACCCCCGCCTTACGATCAGCCTCCAATGCGACCAATTATGCAAGTGTATTTATGTAAGTGTTTTTGTACGTGTATTTTGGGGGTATGAAACAGACTAATCTAATTCACAATATTCCTTATGGGAACAAATTCGTTTGGTAAGGGCACCTGAACATACTTCTCTAGTGGATTTATGTCAACCATCTTTGATATTGTTTTAATGTCACATTTGCACCATTTATAACATTTTTGGTATACAGTGGACCTTCGACCAGCGATGCCATCGATTAACGATAAATCTGACTAGCGATACATTTTATCGCAAAAATTTTGCCTCGATTAGCGCTAAAAAACTCGACCAACACTATTCGTTCCGTCTGAGACGCGTCCACTTCTGGCCAGTGTTTACAAGCCAGCCAGCCACCGCGGTCGCTTCCAAGCATACAATCGGAACATTTCATATTATCACAGCCTTTTTAGTGATTGCACCTGCAAAATAAGTCACCATGGGCCCCAAGAAAGCTTCTAGTGCCAACCCTACAGCAAAAAGGGTGAGAATTACTATGGATATGAAGAAAGAGATCATTGCTAAGTATGAAAGTGGAGTGCGTGTCTCCGAGCTGGCCAGGCTGTACACAAAACCCCAATCAACCATCGCTACTATTGTGGCCAAGAAAACGGCAATCAAGGAAGCTGTTCTTGCCAAAGGTGCAACTATGTTTTCGAAACTGAGATCGCAAGTGATAGATGTTGAGAGACTGTTATTGGTATGGATAAATGAAAAACAGATAGCAGGAGATATCATCTCTCAAGCGATCATATGTGAAAAGGCTAGGAAGTTGCATGACGATATAATTAGAAAAATGCCAGCAACTAGTGGTGATGTGAGTGAATTTAAGGCCAGCAAAGGTTGGTTTGAGAGATTTAAGAATCGTAGTGGCATACATAGTGTGATAAGGCATGGTGAGGCTGCCAGTTTGGACCAAAAAGCAGCTGAAAAATATGTGCAGGAATTCAAGGAGTACATAGACAGTGAAGGACTGAAACCTGAACAAGTGTTTAATGGTGACACTGACAATGTTGTGAACCACTTTAGGAAAGTCATAAAGGAACGAGAGGTACAGGTAACTATGGACAGATATGTTGTGCGACAGAAGTCCAGTGACTCTGAAGCTGGTCCTAGTGGCATTAAAAGAACAAGGGAAGTAACCCCAGAAAAAGACTTGCTGCCTCAAGTGCTAATGGAAGGGGATTCCCCTTCTAAACACTAACACCTCTCCCCTCCTCCCATCCCATCAATCATCACCAGATCTTCAATAAAGGTAAGTGTCATGTAACTGTGCATGTAATCTTCAGTTTGTGTGTATTAAAATTAATATTTCATATGGTAAATTTTTTTTTTTTCAATACTTTTGGGTGTCTTGCACGGATTAATTTGATTTCCATTATTTCTTATGGGGAAAATTAACTTGACTAACGATGAGCTCTCAGGAACGGATTAATATCGCTGGTTGAGGGTCCACTGTATTTTTAAATGTTTATACAGTAGCGTACTGTATATTGTATCAAACAGAACAGAGGAAATCAGCTCTAATATACATTATTAAGGTATGCATACTGGTCAGAGAGCCCATTGTAAGTCCGTCTCATCGGTAAATGAGTACGTCGCTAAGTGAGGAGAGGCTGTGTACTGTAGTATAAATTTCTCATTAAAAAATCCTACTACAAAAGTATATCTGGCAAAGACATGGAGAATTCAAACCACTCTTTGAACCTCTGTTATATTTACTGTCAAGTCAAAGGACTGTTATGCTTTGCTTAGAGTTTCAATGTCTGGCATGTCTTTTACAACAAAGTCCAGTAACATCTGGCCAAATGCTTTACCTTGAGGATCAGAGCGAAGTGAAGCTACACCACCACCTCCAAGTGAATTTTCCAGAACAAAATTGAGGCCATGGATTCCATCAACTTCATACCTGTGTAAAGAAATTGCAAACGGACACTGTATTAGAAATTCACTTTTCCACTGTTAGTGCAGTATCCAGTTATACAGGCAGGCCGCTTTACAGCGCTTTGCCTTATGGCATTTTGCTAGTGCAGAGGTTTACAATTATACTCATTCTTCATTTATTGAGACTTCCTACAAAAAAATATATTTACCACTCACTATAAGCTAAGGACAAAAATATTTTAAGGTAAGTAATGTGTTATAAGTAGTAGGTTGGTAGACAGCAACCACCCAGGGAGGTACTACCGTCCTGCCAAGTGAGTGTAAAACGAAAGCCTGTAATTGTTTTACATGATGGTAGGATTGCTGGTGTCCTTTTTTCTGCCTCATAAACATGCAAAATTTTCAGGTAAGTCTTGCTACTTCTACTTACACTTAGGTCACACTACACATACATGTACAAGCATATATATACACACCCCTCTGGGTTTTCTTCTATTTTCTTTCTAGTTCTTGTTCTTGTTTATTTCCTCTTACCTCCATGGGGAAGCGGAACAGAATTCTTCCTCCGTAATCCATGCGTGTTGTAAGAGGCGACTAAAATGCCAGGAGCAAGGGGCTAGTAACCCCTTCTCCTGTTTATATTACTAAATGTAAAAGGAGAAACTTTCGTTTTTCCTTTTGGGCCACCCCGCCTCGGTGGGATACGGCCGGTGTGTTGAAAGAAGAAGTAATGTGTGTACTGTATATGCATTTTTAGGCCTAATATGTGATAGTGTAAGCATGTTATCAGTTTTTTTCTCTATTTGAAAGAGAAAAAAAGGCTGTTTCACTTTACAGCAGTAGCCCAGTACCTAACCTGCTGTATAAGTAGGGCCCTCCTGTATACAGTATACCATGCTGTTACTATTCAAGATCAATTATCTTGCAAAAATCTCTCTAAAGGAAAACTAGTGTTTCAAATATTAATTACAATCAGCACAGCTTAAATACTGGCAATACAACAACAAAGTAAATAATAAATACAAGTCGCTTTTAATTAACTGAACTAAATTACATGTATATTTTGTAGGAACCTGCAGACAGAATTAATGGACTGTACTAATAACCATTCTCTGTCTATAGTTAATTTGGTTATGACAAGGATTTATTTAAATTATGTTTTGCATAGGTTCTTCAACAGTTCAGATAGAATTTGTTCCAAGTTAATCATAATTTCTGTAATGAACATTAATGTACATATGCATACACATTAACGTACATATGCAGGTAGTAGGTTGGTAGACAGCAACCACCCAGGGAGGTACTACTGTCCTGCCAAGTGAATGTAAAACAAAAGCCTGTAATTGTTTTACATGATGGTAGGATTGCTGGTGTCTTTTGTCTGTCTCATAAATATGCAAGATTACAGGTATGTCTTGCTACTTCTACTTACACTTAGGTCACACTACACATACATGTACACGTTTATTTATACACACTCATCTGAGTTTTCTTTGATTTTATCTTAATAGTTCTTGGTCTTATTACTTTTCCTTTTATATCCATGGGGAAGTGGAATAAGAATCTTTCCTCCGTAAGCCATGCGTGTTGTAAAAGTCAACTAAAATGCCGGGAACAATGGGCTAGTAACCCCCTTTCCTGTAAAGATTACTAAAAAGAATAAGAAGAAAATTGTCAAAGTGGGAAGTCTGAATGTGCGTGGATGTTGTGCAAATGATAAGAAAGAGATGATTGTGGATGTTATGAATGAGAAGAAGCTGGATGTCCTGGCTTTAAGTGAAACAAAGCTGAAGGGGGTGGGAGAGTTTCAATGGAGAGGAATAAATGGGATTAGGTCAGGGGTTTCAAAAAGAGTTAGAGCTAAAGAAGGAGTAGCAATAATGTTGAACGATAAGCTATGGCAGGAAAAGAGGGACTATAAATGTATTAATTCAAGGATTATGTGGAATAAAATAAAGATTGGATGTGAAAAGTGGGTTATAGTAAGCATGTATGCACCTGAAGAAGAAAGAAGTGTAGAGGAGAGAGAGAGAGATTTTGGGAAATGTTGAATGAATGCGTGGGGAGTTTTGAATCAAGTGTGAGAGTAATGGTGGTTGGGGATTTCAATGCTAAAGTGGGTAAAAATGTTATGGAGGGAGTAGTAGGTAAATTTGGGGTGCCAGGGGTTAATGTAAATGGGGAGCCTTTAATTGAGCTATGTGTAGAAAGAGATTTGGAAATAAGTAATACATATTTTATGAAAAAGAGGATAAATAAATATACAAGGTATGATGTAGCACGTAATGAAAGTAGTTTGTTAGATTATGTATTGGTGGATAAAAGGTTGATGGGTAGGCTCCAGGATGTACATGTTTATAGAGGGGCAACTGATATATCGGATCATTATCTAGTTGTAGCTACAGTTAGAGTAAGAGGTAGATGGGACAATAGGAAAATGGCAACAACAAGTAAAAGGGAGGTGAAAATGTATAAACTAAGGGAGGAGGAAGTTCGGGGGAGATATAAGCGACTGTTAGCAGAAAGGTGGGCTAGTGCAAAGATGAGTAATGGGGGGGTTGAAGAGGGTTGGAATAGTTTTAAAAATGCAGTATTAGAATGTGGGACAGAAGTTTGTGGTTATAGGAGGGTGGGGGGCAAGTGGAAAGAGGAGTGATTGGTGGAATGATGAAGTAAAGGGTGTGATAAAAGAGAAAAAGTTAGCTTATGAGAGGTTTTTACAAAGCAGAAGTGTTATAAGAAGAGCAGAGTATATGGAGAGTAAAAGAAAGGTGAAGAGAGTGGTGAGAGAGTGCAAAAGGAGAGCAGATGATAGAGTGGGAGAGGCACTGTCAAGAAATTTTAATGAAAATAAGAAAAAATTTTGGAGTGAGTTAAACAAGTTAAGAAAGCCTAGGGAAAGTATGGATTTGTCAGTTAAAAACAGAGTAGGGGAGTTAGTAGATGGGGAGAGGGAGGTATTAGGTAGATGGCGAGAATATTTTGAGGAACTTTTAAATGTTGAGGAAGAAAGGGAGGCGGTAATTTCATGCACTGGTCAGGGAGATATACCATCTCTTAGGAGTGAAGAGGAGCAGAATGTAAGTGTGGGGGAGGTACGCGAGGCATTACATAGAATGAAAGGGGGTAAAGCAGCTGGAACTGATGGGATCATGACAGAAATGTTAAAAGTAGGGGGGATATAGTGTTGGAGTGGTTGGTACTTTTGTTTAATAAATGTATGAAAGAGGGGAAGGTACCTAGGGATTAGCGGAGAACATGTATAGTCCGTTTATATAAAGGGAAAGGGGACAAAAGAGATTGTAAAAATCATAGAGGAATAAGTTTATTGAGTATACCACGAAAAGTGTACGGTAGGGTTATAATTGAAAGAATTAGAGGTAAGACAGAATGTAGGATTGCGGATGAGCAAGGAGGTTTCAGAGTGCGTAGGGGATGTGTAGATCAAGTGTTTACATTGAAGCATATATGTGAACAGTATTTAGATAAAGGTAGGGAAGTTTCTATTGCATTTATGGATTTAGAAAAGGCATATGATAGAGTGGATAGGGGAGCAATGTGGCAGATGTTGCAAGTATATGGAATAGGTGGTAAGTTACTAAATGCTGTAAAGAGTTTTTATGAGGATAGTGAGGCTCAGGTTAGGGTGTGTAGAAGAGAGGGAGACTACTTCCCGGTAAAAGTAGGTCTTAGACAGGGATGTGTAATGTCACCATGGTTGTTTAATATATTTATAGATGGGGTTGTAAAAGAAGTAAATGCTAGGGTGTTCGGGAGAGGGGTGGGATTAAATTATGGGGAATCAAATTCAAAATGGGAATTAACACAGTTACTTTTTGCTGATGATACTGTGCTTATGGGAGATTCTAAAGAAAAATTGCAAAGGTTAGTGGATGAGTTTGGGAATGTGTGTAAAGGTAGAAAGTTGAAAGTGAACATAGAAAAGAGTAAGGTGATGAGGGTATCAAATGATTTAGATAAAGAAAAATTGGATATCAAATTGGGGAGGAGGAGTATGGAAGTGAATGTTTTCAGATACTTGGGAGTTGACGTGTCGGCGGATGGATTTATGAAGGATGAGGTTAATCATAGAATTGATGAGGGAAAAAAGGCGAGTGGTGCATTGAGGTATATTTGGAGTCAAAAAACGTTATCTATGGAGGCAAAGAAGGGAATGTATGAAAGTATAGTAGTACCAACACTCTTATATGGGTGTGAAGCTTGGGTGGTAAATGCAGCAGCAAGGAGATGGTTGGAGGCAGTGGAGATGTCCTGTCTAAGGGCAATGTGTGGTGCAAATATTATGCAGAAAATTTGGAGTGTGGAAATTAGGAAAAGGTGTGGAGTTAATAAAAGTATTAGTCAGAGGGCAGAAGAGGGGTTGTTGAGGTGGTTTGGTCATTTAGAGAGAATGGATCAAAGTAGAATGACATGGAAAGCATATAAATCTATAGGGGAAGGAAGGCGAGGTAGGGGTCGTCCTCAAAAGGGTTGGAGAGAGGGGGTAAAGGAGGTTTTGTGGGCAAGGGGCTTGGACTTCCAGCAAGCGTGCGTGAGTGTGTTAGATGGGAGTGAATGGAGATGAATGGTACTTGGGACCTGACGATCTGTTGGAGTGTGAGCAGGGTAATATTTAGTGAAGGGATTCAGGGAAACCCGTTATTTTCATATAGTCAGACTTGAGTCCTGGAAATGGGAAGTACAATGCCTGCACTTTAAAGGAGGGGTTTGGGATATTGGCAGTTTGGAGGGATATGTTGTGTATTTTTATACGTATATGCTTCTAAACTGTTGTATTCTGAGCACCTCTGCAAAAACAGTGATTATATGTGAGTGTGGTGAAAGTGTTGAATGATGATGAAAGCATTTTCTTTTGGGGGATTTTCTTTCTTTTTTGGGTCACCCTGCCTCGGTGGGAGACGGCCGACATGTTGAAAAAAAAAAAAAAATGCATACACATCTAGGTAGTAGGTTGGTAGACAGCAACCACCCAGGGAGGTACTACCGTCCTGCCAAGTGAGTGTAAAACTGAAGCCTGTAATTGTTTTACACGATGGTAGGATTGCTGGTGTCTTTTTTCTGTCTCATAAACATGCAAGATTTCAGGTATGTCTTGCTACTTCTACTTACACTTAGGTCACACTACACATACATGTACAAGCATATATATACACTCCCCTTTGGGTTTTCTTCTATTTTCTTTCTAGTTCTTGTTCTTGTTTATTTCCTCTTACCTCCATGGGGAAGTGGAATAGAATTCTTCCTCCGTAAGCCATGCGTGTTGTAAGAGGCGACTAAAATGCCGCGAGCAAGGGGCTAGTAACCCCTTCTCCTGTATATATTACTAAATGTAAAAGGAGAAACTTTCGTTTTTCCTTTTGGGCCACCCCGCCTCGGTGGGATACGGCCGGTGTGTTGAAAGAAAGAAAGAATAAACATGCAAGATTTCAGGTACATCTTGCTACTTCTACTTACACTTAGGTCACCTACACATACATGTACAAGCATATATGTACATACCCCTCTGGGTTTTCTTCTATTTTCTTTCTAGTTCTTGTTCTTGTTTATTTCCTCTTATCTCCATGGGGAAGTGGAACAGAATTCTTCCTCCGTAAGCCATGCGTGTCGTAAGATGCGACTAAAATGCCAGGAGCAAGGAGCTAGTACTCCTCCTCCTGTATATATTACTAAATTTGAAAGGAGAAACTTTCATTTTTCCTTTTGGGCCACCCCACCTCGGTGGGATATGGCTGGTACATTGAAAGAAGAAGATGCATACGTATACAGTATATTTATAACAATGGCAAAAGAGTAAAGACAGAATGCTGTCCTTGCCATACCTCCTCTCACGTGTGCAAATCATCAAAGGTACACAAGGAATAAGGGATTTTTTTTTAAATTTAATTCTGTTCATCAGTATGCTATTCTCATAGATTCAAATTTGAAAGAATTCCTTTATTCTTTCTATACCTTTGATGATTTGCACCCATGAGGGGGTATAACATAGACAGCATCAAAGATGAGAAGAGAAACTACACTTTAAAACTGTTTTCCTCGAGGAATAATTTACTAGATGAGGTATCGTCATATAGAATCCTCTCTGCACGTTTCAACCAATTTATAATATTAAGGGACTTTCTGAATGAGCATGTTAAAACTTGCTAAGGCTATCAAATGAAATTTGAATCAACATTTTGTAAAGCAGTTCTCACTTGTTGAATTTAGTTACAAGAATTTATCCCCTCAAAGGAGGTTCCTTGACACTGGTGAGGGGCTGTAGCATTGTATAGCCCTTGTGGTTTAGTGCTTCTTTTTGATTATAATAATAATAATGGTGAGGGGCTCTTGATCTAGGGAATTGGATCTGTGCTTCAGTTCCATGAATGCCTTCCATACCCCCCCCCCCTCTCAGGTGCTGTATAATTCTATGGGTTTGTGCTCCCCCATGATTATAATACAAGAATTTATAACGAAAAGTTAAAATTATCCATCACAATACTGAGTAATTAAATGTTTGAAATAATAATGGAGAAACTGAATGTGTAGTATACCACCAAATGGTGATCTACTGTTATACAGTATAACCAAAGCTAAGGATAATCAGTACGAGAAAATATTATACCTTACTTATGAGTAACTAAAGCCAACTAGCCTTTAATCCTGAAGATTTCCCTTCAATATTATTCTGTTTCTTAACAAGTACTCAGATCACACCCACATTTGAGATAAAATATCAACCAAAATAATAAAAATACTGCCCACTAATTTTTTTTTATGGTACAGCACTCTGTATTACTAATACCTTTTAACACACTCCACAGGGTTGACATCAGCTGGAAACACATGAGTGAAATAATCAGCCACAGACTGAGATGTAAGAGCTTGTTTCAGGTAAGGGTAAAATGCAGGATGACGGGCAATCACTCCAATATTAGAAGAGTTAGCCTTGTCTCCACTTCGAGTGATAGCTAGTTCTTCTAGGCGATAACTTAAGAGAAAAATTAACATTATATTACTTTAGCACACAACTACAGCTTGCAGTTCTTTATACATCAGTAATTTACATAAAGAATTAGGTCACCCTGCCTTGATGGGATACGACAGGTTTGTTGAAAAAATAAAATACATAAATACATTTAATAAATGAATTCAACTCAGCCCAATAAAAGAATAATGGTAATCTTTTCCTTGTTCAATTTTTACGTTTGTGAAGGGGTGAAAAAATCCATATGCTCTGGCCTGTTTTGCAACAAAGTAATAATTACGTATTATACAAGGGCTTTGTTTTGTAAGGTTTTTCAAATTAAAATAAAAACATACCTTTTTGAACCTGTGATCAAGCCTGACACATGGGAAACAGGCTGGTCAGCATAGTCATAGGTGGCTGAGGGGACCCAATACTCTGATAACTCGGAATGTACTTTATCTTTTCCATCCATGCTGATATTTATCTATAAGGAATTAAAACTTATGAGAAATTATACTGTGCATTTCAGTACTATATACAGCCTCTCCTCACTTAACGACGGAGTTCTGTTCCTAAGACCACGTCGTTAAACGAATTCATTGCTAAGTGAGGAGCATACTAGTATAATGGTAGTGAGTTTGTGTCAACCATCTTTGATATTGTTTTAATGTCACCTCTGTACCATTTATAACATTTCTGGTATATTTTTAAATGTTTATCCAGTAGTGTACTGTATACTGAAATAAACAGAATAGAGGAAATCAGCACTAATATACATTATTTATGTATAAATACTGGTCAGAGAGCTCGTTGTAAGTCCAAGGCACTGGTAAACGAGTACGTCGTTAAGTGAGAAGAGGCTATACTACACTGAATGCTGAGGCATTAAAAGTATGGTAGGCACTGTACCACTATCATACAGTATCACTTATTATCAACAAGTTAACAATGATATGAGGATAAAAAGAGTAAAGGTGCCAGGATTGTCCCTTGGTGATACTGAACTTTTTAATTTTCCTGAGGTAGTAGTGTTTTGTTGACAACTACTCTTCATGATCCATTTGTCAGAAATTTGAATATCCATTATCCTACTTCCATTTTATGCCTACTGACTTTTTTATGGACTATTACTCTATGGATACATTTGTTAGATGCTTTTGCAAAATTTGTGTAGATTACAAGTGTTTTGGTTTTCTTTCAAGGCCTCTGTAAATTTGTCATAGTAATCTAACATGAAAGCTCTTCCTGTTCTAAGCCACACTGAATAAAATTGTGTAACTCATGTTTCTTCATAAAGTCAGTAATTTGATACCTCATCTCCCTTTCAGTAATGTACATGCATGATGTCAGTGCTACTAGTCTGTAGTTTTTGCTACTGCTTTGCTTTCCCTTAGGGGAGAAGAACTATCTCTGCACTTTTTAAGGCCTTTGGGATTTCCCTTGAATCTAAGCTTCTTCAAAGAACACTGAGGATTCTTGATAATGGCACTTTTATATTTTCATATAAAAAATACATTCTAGGAATCAGTCCTAAGTGCTGTATGCATGAACATGTCTATCTCCCTTTCAAAACCTGAAGGATTTGTGTTATTGTCAGAAATATAATTTGTAAGATGATGAGAATGTACAAAAACCTTTCTGGATCTTCAACTCTCATGGCATTAACAGGATCACTCAACACTGATTCATACTGTTCGTTCAAGATTTCATTCTTTACATTGTTGTCATCTGTGTATGTATCTCCTTTGAGTAAAGGGCCAATACTAGAATTGTCTTTCACTAGGATCTTTCATATGTAAAAAAAATATTTTGGGTTTTCCCAAATTTTTTTTTTTATGTGCTTTTGTCTGGCATGAATGTTTAGCTCCTTTTGTATATCAATTCATTTCTTCCTGAAATGTAGTCATGACTTCAATAACTGTAGTGTACATTAGCATTTTATATTAAGAAGTAATTTTCTTGGTAAAATAATATACTGTATTACCTTGCATTCATTCTTTATTATCAAGAATGAGTGAAGATGCAACAATGGGGATGGTTTGGGTCGGCCACCTACAATAGATGTTAATCCTGGGGCCATGCCAGTGCCAGCAGCTGCAATTTCTAGGGAGACAAGTTCCAAGGCTTTTCTGTCAGCATGGTGAACTGATATCCAAATTACTCCTTCTCGAGGACCATCATCAGAACTGTGGGAACTTTGATCTGTCATTCATCTGGACACTTACAACAAGCTGGTACAAAATGAAAAAAGCAACAATGAAATAGTAGTGCATCTAAATGCCTAGAAAGAATATCATAAATAATAAATTATGATGTCAGATAATAACTTTGTAAAACTTTTTTTTTTTTTAATTCTACCTTTGCCACTGTCAGTAAAGAAACTAGGTCATGGCACTACATGGAGTTTAAAATATGACAAGTTTTTTTTTTTTTTGTTTTTGTTAACAATTTGGCCATCTCCCACCGAGGCAGGGTGACCCAAAAAGAAAGAAAAACCCCAAAAAGAAAATACTTTCAACATTATTCAACACTTTCACCTCACTAACACAATCACTGTTTTTGCAGAGGTGCTCACAATACAACAGTTTAGAAGTATATACATATAAAGATAAACAACATATCCCTCCAAACTGTCAATATCCCAAACCCCTCCTTTAAAGTGCAGGCATTGTACTTCCCATTTCCAGTACTCAAGTCCAGCTATATAAAAATAACTGGTTTTCCTGAATCCCGTCACTAAATATTACCCTGCTCACACTCCAACACCTCGTCAGGTCCCAAATACCATTCGTCTCCATTCACTCCTATCTAACACGCTCACGCACGCTTGCTGGAAGTCCAAGCCCCTCACCCACAAAACCTCCTTTACCCCCTCCCTCCAACCTTTTCGAGGACGACCCCTACCCTGCCTTCCTTCCCTACAGATTTATACGCTCTCCATGTCATTCTACCTTGATCCATTCTCTCTAAATGACCAAACCACCTCAACAACCCCTCTTCAGCCCTCTGGCTAATACTCTTATTAACTCCACACCTTCTCCGAATTTCCGCACTCCGAATTTTCTGCATAATATTTAAACCACACATTGCCTTTAGTGTGTGAGGGGCTTGGACTTCCAGCAGGCATGCGTGAGGGTGTTTGATAGGAGTGAATGGAGACAAATGGTTTTTAATACTTGACGTGCTGTTGGAGTGTGAGCAAAGTAACATTTATGAAGGGGTTCAGGGAAACCGGCAGGCCGGACTTGAGTCCTGGAGATGGGAAGTACAGTGCCTGCACTCTGAAGGAGGGGTGTTAATGTTGCAGTTTAAAAACTGTAGTGTAAAGCACCCTTCTGGCAAGACAGTGATGGAGTGAATGATGGTGAAAGTTTTTCTTTTTTGGGCCACCCTGCTTTGGTGGGAATCAGCCAGTGTGATAATAAAAATAATAATAAAATAATTGCCCTTAGACAGGACATCTCCACTGCCTCCAACCACCTCCTCGCTGCAGCTTTTACAACCCAAGCTTCACACCCATATAAGAGTGTTGGTACATACATTATACTTTCATACATTCCCTTTTTTGCCTCCATAGATAATGTTTTTTGTCTCCACATTTACCTCAATGCACCACTCACTTTTTTTCCTTCATCAATTCTATGATTAACCTCATCCTTCATAAATCCATCTGCTGACACGTTAACTCCCAAATATCTGAAAACATTCACTTCTTCCATACTCCTCCTCCCTAATTTGATATCCAATTTTTCTTTAAATCATTTGATACCCTCATCACATTACTCTTTTCTATGTTCACTTTCAACTTTCTACCTTTACACACACTCCCAAACTCATCCACTAACCTTTGCAATTTTTCTTTAGAATCTCCCATAAGCACAGTATCATCAGCAAAAAGTAACTGTGTCAATTCCCATTTTGTATTTGATTCCCCATAACTTAATCCCACCCCTCTCCCAAACACCCTAGCATTTACTTCTTTTACAACCCCATCTATAAATATACAGTGGACCCTCAACCAGCAATGGCATCGATTAACGATAAATCTGACTAGCGATACATTTTAACACAAAAATTTTGCCTCGTCTAGCGCTTAAAAACCCGACCAGCGCTATTCATTCCGTACGAGACGCGTCCACTTTGGCCTGAGCACGCCTCACTTGTCTCGTGGGTGCCAGTGTTTACAAGCCAGCCACTGCGGTCGCTTCCAAACATACAACTGGAACATTTCATATTATCACAGCCTTTGTAGTGATTGCACCTGCAAAATAAGTCACCATGGGCCCCAAGAAAGCTTCTAGTGCCAACCCTACAACAAAAAGGGTGAGAATTACTATGGAGATGAAGAAAGAGATCATTGCTAAGTATGAAAGTGGAGTGCGTGTCTCTGAGCTGGTCAGGTTGTATAATAAACCCCAATCAACCATCGCTACTATTGTGGCCAAGAAAACGGCAATCAAGGAAGCTGTTCTTGCCAAAGGTGCAACTATGTTTTCGAAACTGAGATCGCAAGCGGCAGAAGATGTTGAGAGACTCTTATTGGTGTGGATAAACGAGAAACAGATAGCAGGAGATAGCATCTCTCAAGCGATCATATGTGAAAAGGCTAGGAAGTTGCATGACGATTTAATTAAAAAAATGCCAGCAACTAGTGATGTGAGTGAATTTAAGGCCAGCAAAGGTTGGTTTGAGAGATTTAAGAAGCATAGTGGCATTCATAGTGTGATAAGGCATGGTGAGGCTACCAGTTCGGACCACAAAGCGGCTGAAAAATATGTGCAGGAATTCAAGGAGTACATAGACAGTGAAGGACTGAAACCTGAACAAGTGTTTAATTGTGACGAAACAGGCCTGTTTTGGAAGAAAATGCCAAGCAGGACCTACATTACTCAGGAGGAAAAGGCACTCCTAGGACATAAGCCTATGAAAGACAGGCTTACTCTGTTGATGTGTGCCAATGCTAGTGGTGACTGCAAAGTGAAGCCTTTATTGGTGTATCACTCTGAAACTCCCAGAGTGTTCAGGAAAAACAATGTCATCAAGGCTAATTTGTGTGTGCTGTGGAGGGCAAACAGTAAGGCATGGGTCACTAGGGACTTTTTCTATGACTGGTTACAGAATGCATTTGCCCCAATGTGAAAAATAACCTAATTGAAAAGAAATTAGACCTTAAGTGCCTCCTGGTATTAGACAATGCTCCTGGTCATCCTTCAGACTTGGCAGAGCGACTTTCTAGGGACATGAGCTTCATTAAGGTGAAGTTTTTGCCTCCTAATACCACTCCTCTCCTGCAGCCCATGGACCAGCAGGTCATTTCCAACTTTAAGAAACTGTACACAAAAGCTATGTTTGAAAGGTGCTTTGTAGTGACCTCAGAAACTCAACTGACTCTAAGAGAGTTTTGGAAAGATCATTTTACCATCCTCAATTGTGTAAACATTATAGGTAAGGCTTGGGAGGAAGTGACTAAGAGGACCTTGAACTCTGCTTGGAAAAAAACTGTGGCCAGAATGTGTAGACAAAAGGGATTTTGAAGGGTTTGAGGCTAACCCTGAGAATCCTATGCCAGTTGAGGAATCCATTGTGGCATTGGGGAAGTCCTTGGGGTTGGAGGTTAGTGGGGAGGATGTGGAAGCGCTGGTGGAGGAGGACAATGATGAACTAACCACTGATGAGCTGCTAGATCATCTTGAACAGCAAGAGGGCAGACCTGAGGAAACTGCTTCGGAGGAGGGGAGAGAGAAATTGAAGTTGTCTACCTCTAAGATTAAGGAAATGTGTGCAAAGTGGCTTGAAGTGCAAACCTTTTTTGATGAAAATCACCCTGACACAGCTACTGCAAACCGTGTTGGCAACCTCTACACTGACAATGTTGTGAACCACTTTAGGAAAAGTCATAAAGGAACGAGAGGTACAGGTATCTATGGACAGATATGTTGTGCGACAGAAGTCCAGTGACTCTGAAGCTGGTCCTAGTGGCATTAAAAGAACAAGGGAAGTAACCCCAGAAAAAGACTTTCTACCTCAAGTGCTAATGGAAGGGGATTCCCCTTCTAAACACTAAGAAGATCAACAGTCTCCCCTCCTCCCATCCCATCAATCATCACCAGATCTTCAATAAAGGTAAGTGTCATGTAACTGTGCATGTCTTCTTCAGTTTGTGTGTATTAAAATTAATATTTCATGTGGTAAATTTTTTTTTTTCAATACTTTGGGGTGTCTTGCACGGATTAATTTGATTTCCATTATTTCTTATGGGGAAAATTAACTTGACTAATGATTATTTCGATTAACGATGAGCTCTCAGGAACGGATTAATATCGCTGGTTGAGGTTCCACTGTATTACACAACGATGGTGACATTACACATCCCTGTCTTAGACCTACTTTTACCGGGAAGTAGTCTCCCTCTCTTCTACACACCCTAAACCGAGCCTCACTATCCTCATAAAAACTCTTTACAACATTTAGTAACTTACCACCTATTCCATATATTTGCAACATCTGCCACATTGCTCCCCTAAATCCATAAATGCAATAAAACTTCCCTACCTTTATCTAAATACTGTTCACATATATGCTTCAGTGTAAACACTTGATCTACACATCCCTTACCCACTCTAAAACCTCCTTGCTCATCTGCAATCCTACATTCTGTCTTACCTGTAATTCTTTCAATAACCCTACTGTACAGTTTTCCTGGTATACTCAGGAAACTTATTCCTCTATAATTTTTACAATCTCTTTTGTCCCCCTTCCCTTTATATAAAGGGACTATACATGCTTTCTGCCAATCCCTAGGTACCTTCCCCTCTTTCATACATTTATTAAACAAAAATACCAACCACTCCAACACTATATCCCCCCGCTTTTAACATTTCTGTTATGATCCCGTCAGTTCCAGCTGCTTTACCCCCTTTCATTCTACATAATGCCTCACGCACCTCCCCCACGCTCACATTCTGCTCTTCTTCACTCCTAAAAGATGTTATACCTCCCTGACTAGTGCATGAAATTACTGCCTCCTTTTCTTCGTTGACGTTTAAAAGTTCCTCAAAATATTCTCGCCATCTACCCAATACCTCCATCTTCCCATCTACTAACTCCCCTACTCTGTTTTTAACGAGCAAATCCATTTGTTCCCTAGGCACCCTTTACTTCATCATTCCACCAATCACTCCTCTTTCCTCCTGCACCCACCTTCCTATAACCAAAAACTTCTGCCCCACATTCTAATACTGCATTTTTAAAACCTTTCCAACCCTCTTCAACCCCCCCAATACTCATATTTGCACCAGCCCACCTTTCTGCCAATAGTTGCTTATATCTCACCTGAACTTCCTCCTCCCTTAGTTTATACACTTTCACCTCCCTCTTACTTGTTGTTACCATTTTCCTCTTGTCCCATCTACCTCTTACTCTAATGAGCTACAACTAAATAATGATCCAATATATCAGTTGCCCCACTATAAACATGTACATCCTGGAGCCTACCCATCAACCTTTTATCCACCAATACATAATCTAACAAACTACTTTCATTACATACTATATCATACCTTGTATATTTATTTATCCTCTTTTTCATAAAATATGTATTACTTATTACCAAACCTCTGTCTACACATAGCTCAATTAAAGGCTCCCCATTTTCATTTATCCCTGGCACCCCAAATTTACCTACTACTCCTTCCACAACATTTTTACCCACTTTAGCACTGAAATCCCCAACCACAAGTACTCTCACACTTGGTTCAAAACTCCCCACACATTCACTAAACAATTAAAGAATTCTGTTGGTGGCTGCCACAACCTGGCCAGTATGACAAGTACAGTACAATATTAGCTCCTGTCCCTCACCATTGTAGGCCACTACTATTACCTTTGCCCAGCCATTAGCTCCACCAGCCACTCTTGCTGTATCAAATTCATATTTTGTAATTTAATTATAAAAAAATAAGGAAAAAAGTAATTGACAGCTTCTGGTTACTGGAATACCAGACATGAAAGGTAAACTGTACTTGTAAGCTGCTGTATATTCAAATAAAAATCTGGGAGCTATTTTAATAAAATAACATTGTAGAGTTTCGAGCTATATTTTTTGGTGACAGCACGACACATTTAGTTGCCTGGGACTTTTTCATTCCTGACCTAATTGATTCAGTTGTGTTGTCATGTGGAACTATTCCATTTCATTTTGCTGACAACTGGTAACATTAAAATAATTTCACCTCCTAAAGGCAATTTTGTTAAGTATTTTTGTATAAAATCTATCTTACTTTATAAACACAAACTGTTTATTTTAGCTAGGAGTTTAACAACTATATTTATAAATAATGAACTTCTCAAGGTCAATGCCAGCAGTATGATATAAATTCAACTGGGTAAAAAATATTAAAATCATTTATTGAATATACAGTATAATACTGTACTGCCAAATCTAAGCTCTCTCCTCTCAAACTACATGCAAGAGGTTATGAGTAACATCTGCATTACTGTACCTGGAATGTGATCCATAGGTGTCTTCACCTCCCAAGATTTGAATGTGTGTCCTTTTAAAATCTGGAATTTTCAACATCTTGAAAATATTACGACATCTCAATATGATGGCCTCCGCTGTCTTTTTGCCTTTCTCTTTACTCTTTGGGCCACCAATACAGCACACAGCTGTCATTTTGTAACCATCCATGTATGTTGCACTGACCTACAATATATTTGTAATAATGTAATGATGATCAACATGATAAAAGAAAACTACACTAAAGTTATATAACTAAGTATCTCTAAGTTTATGGTACTACTATGTTACAATTTAAGTTTTCATTATAATACAACCTGTCCTCACACCACATTTGAAACATCTACAATGACAAGGTTGAACATTTTTAAAAATATAGACACCCTCCACAGCTTTGTGTGTCATGCCTGTTTTATTAATTTGCATGTTTATTTGTGGTTACAGTAGATACATACAGATACAACACTGATTTTTCCAGCAATGGATGGTCTGGCATCTCTTTTAGTCCAGACAAAATTAAGAGGACAGCCACAGATGATGCTATGCATAGTCCATATGCACTTGTTTTGCTTACACTGCAGTTGTTGGTGACCATTCCCTGATTTTGTGCAATTCTTCATATATTTTGCTAACATTTAAACCTAATTATGCTTTTAACCCTTTGAGGGTCTGTCCCGTAGTTCTATGGCTTTGAAGCCAAGGTCCAAGTCGTAGTACTACCTCATGAGCTCAGCTCACTCAGATAAGCTGTGAGCAGTAAATTTGGGCCTAGATACGAGAGAATGGATTTACGTGGTAAGTGCACCATATAAAACATATCCTGTAGCACGCAGTGCATAATGAGAAAAAACTACGGCTTTATATGGATTAAAGCAGAAACTTCGTGGTGTATTTTCATGTGGTTTTTACGGTTGTATTCACGGTTTCTTGGTCTCATTTGATAGAATAGAAGATAAGTTACAGAAAAAGAGATGATTTTGATTAGTTTTAGTAGTGAAAATAGGGTGAAACTGAGCTCAAAGTAGTGGAAATGTTCGATTTTTTGCTGATGTCATACATCCGATACACATCAACTGGTGGGTCTAATATTCGTTCATGAATGCGCTGATATTATTTATACAATTATTACAATATTGCATAAGAGTAAATTTATTTTTTGGTGTGAATAAAAAAATCATTATGTGAATAAAAAATTAAAATGGAACTCATCTGTAAAGCCTGTAAACATAACTAGTAAATAGAGGAAATGTTATTTTAGTGCCAGGAATGTCTGCATTGTTAATTTTGGACCCTATTTTGAAACAAATATTTTTATTTTGAACTTTGTGTGAAATTGGCCAAATTACCAATTTCTAATCACTTTATTGGGTAGTTGAAATAGTTTCTTGTGTTCAGTTGATAAAATAGAAGTAATACTAGCAAAACAGCTAAGAATTTGGTCAACTGGAATAATGTAATTTGCCTAAAATGGGAGTCAAAACGGGCAAAATTGCCAATGCGTAAATATCGCCAGTGCACCAAAATTCACAATAGTGTAATTTGTCATTTTTCCATCAAATTTCATACTTTTTGTTTTATTACCTTCAGAAAAAGCTTCTCTACAATTTCATCAGAAAAAAATAAAAAAATTGTTTGAAAATTCTTGGACCCTGTGGACAAGTGTCAGACTGGGAGTCTGGACCCTGAAAGGGTTAAGAAAGATGCAGGTATCAGTGGTGGTGTCAAGTGTATACACCAATTCATATCAACACAAAATAAGGTAGAACTATTAAAAAAACTGGATCACAATATTTCCATACATTGTAGGGCATGTATGGTGTTGGTTCATCAACTGTATGATATAAAGGAGCCAAGGGACCAAATACTGAAATTCTATGCAGAAAGATTACCAACAGACGATGAAGAAAAGCCCGTAGGACTCAATCAAATAAACAGAGTTATCATCTTAGGGTGCTCAAACATAGCGGGTGCACATAGATACAAGCCACTGGTTATAAGAAAAAATACTCTAGAGCCTTTGCAAGCATTAAAATTTACACAGTTATTTTTTTTTTTCAACAAGTCTGCCATCTCCCACCGAGGCAGGGTGACCCAAAAAGAAAGAAAATCCCCAAAAAGAAAATACTTTCATCATCATTCAACACTTTCACCTCACTCACACATACTCACTGTTTTTGCAGAGGTTCCCAGAATACAACAGTTTAGAAGTATATATGTACAAAACTACACAATATATCCTTCCAAACTGCCAATACGTATCTCAAACTCCTTTAGAGTGCATGCATTGTAGTACTTCCCATTTCCAGGACTCAAGTCTGGTTATAAAAAATAACTGGTTTCCCTGAATCCCTTCATTAACCCATAAATGGTCCAAACGTATACTGTATATACATTCTCTACCGTAGTGCCCCAACTTTTTTGAGAAAAACAAAAATCATTTTTTTTAATAAGAAAAAAGAGCATATGGTACCCAGGCATCCCCAATTATTTTAATATGGCACACAGTGAGTGCACACACCCATTCTCTCATGTCTAGGTGACTCAGGCATATCGTGGCAATGTAGATGTATGACAAAGAAAACGTATATATACGTTTGGGGCAGTAGCGGTAAAAACGTATATATACGTTTGGACCGTTTACGGGTTATATATTACCCTGCTCACACTCCAACAGCTTGTCAGGTCCCAAATACCATTTGTCTCCATTCACTCCTATCTAACACGCTCAAGCATGCTTGTGGAAGTCCAAACCCCTTGCTCATAACACCTCCTTTATCCCCTCCCTCCAACCTTTTCGAGGACGACCCCTACCCCGCCTTCCTTCCCCTACAGATTTATACACTCTCCACAGTTATTTTTTTTTTATTTTTATTAACACACTGGCCGATTCCCACCAAGGCAGGGTGGCCCGAAAAAGAAAAACTTTCACCGTCATTCACTCCATCACTGTCTTGCCAGAAGGGTGCTTTACACTACAGTTTCTAAACTGCAACATTAACACCCCTCCTTCAGAGTGCAGGAACTGTACTTCCCATCTCCAGGACTCAAGTCTGGCCTGCAGGTTTCCCTGAATCCCTTCATAAATGTTACTTTGCTCACACTCCAACAGCACGTCAAGTATTAAAAACCATTTGTCTCCATTCACTCCTATCAAACACGCTCACACATGCCCGCTGGAAGTCCAAGCCCCTCGCACACAAAACCTTCTTTACCCCCTCCCTCCAACCTTTCCTAGGCCAACCCCTACCCCGCCTTCCTTCCACTACAGACCGATACACTCTTGAAGTCATTCTGTTTCACTCCATTTTCTCTGCATGTCTGAACCACCTCAACAACCCTTCCTCAGCCCTCTGGACAACAGTTTTGGCAATCCCGCACCTCCTCCTAACTTCCAAACTACAAATTCTCTGTATTATATTCACACCACACATTGCCCTCAGACATGACATCTCCACTGCCTCCAGCCTTCTCCTCGCTGCAACATTCATCACCCATGCTTCACACCCATATAAGAGCATTGGTAAAACTATACTCTTGTACATTCCCCTCTTTGCCTCCAAGGACGAAGTTCTGTGTCTCCACAGACTCCTAAGTGCACCGCTCACCCTTTTCCCCTCATCAATTCTATGATTCACCTCATCTTTCATAGACCCATCCACTGACACGTCCACTCCCAAATATCTGAATACATTCGCCTCCTCCATACTCTCTCCCTCCAATCTGATATCCAATCTTTCATCACCTAATCTTTTTGTTATCCTCATAACCTTACTCTTTCCTGTATTCACTTTTAATTTTCTTCTTTTACATACCCTACCAAATTCATCCACCAACCTCTGCAACTTCTCTTCAAAATCTCCCAAGAGTACAGTGTCATCAGCAAAGAGCAACTGTGACAACTCCAACTTTATGTGTTATATACCATGCAAATAAAAATGGCTGGATTACCACTGAGTTTGCCTTAGAATGGTTTATAAATCTTTTTGTACCAGAAGCCAAAACACACTGCACATCTGTAAACCAACTAGAAGATTGAAAAATTCTCATTATTATTATGGACAACTATTCAGCTCACCCAAAGCTGAATTTATGTGTACAAAACAGGTTTACAGTGTATTTACTACCAAACTATACATCACTTATCCAACCCTAGGACCAAGGATGCTCACTTTTCATTAAACGTATGTCAGACTTGGTAAATATTGTCAACACTGTAGAGACATTTACTAAAAAAAAATTAACCTGAAAGACATGCTTTACTTCAGTGCTAGTGCTTGGGAGAAGGTATACACATTAATATTTAAGAAAGGCTGGCATAAGTTGTGGCCTGCAATGATTGATAATTCACCCGATGAAAATATTAACCCTTTGACTGTTTTGGTCGTATATATACGTCTTATGCGCCACTGTTTCGGATGTATTAATAAGCGTAAATTCTAGTGGCTTCAAATCAAGCAGGAGAAAGCTGCTAGGCCCACATGTGAGAGAATGGGTCTGTGTGGTCAGTGTGCACCACTTAAAAAAAATCCTGCAGCACGCAGTGCATAATGAAAAAAAACTGACCATTTTTTTTATTAAAATGCCGACTTTGAGGTGTATTTTCATATAGTATTTATCATTGTATTCTCGTTTTCATGGTCTCACATGATAAAATGGAAAACATATTACAGAAAGAGAGATGATTTTGATTAGTTTCACAATGAAAACAACCTTGAAATTGAGCTCAAAGTAGCGGAAATGTTTGATTTTTACCAATGTTCAGTAGTAAGCAAATCACGCCACACGTCTAATACACGTCAACTGGGGAGTCTAATATTCTTTCACTAGTGCACTGATATTATTTATACTATTTTCACAATAATGCATTATTCTGCATAACAGTAAATTTTGTATTTTTTGTATGAATAAAAATCAAAATAGAAAGCAATAGTAATATAAGAGGGGCCTAGAGACGTGACTAATGAACAGAGGATATGTTATTTTAGTACTAAGAATGTTTACATTGTTTATTCTGGACCCTATTTTGAAATTGGCATCTTTTTTAATTTGCGTGAAATTAATAACAAAAAAAGGCACAATACCGTGACTGGAACGATAAACAAATAACCCGCACATAAAAGAGAGAAGCTTACGACGATGTTTCGGTCCGACTTGGACCATTTACAAAGTCACACTAACCAGAAGTG